GCGCGCCCGGGAACGGCGCGCGACGCCCTTGGCGCGGGGTTATGAGCCCCGCTCCGCGCGGGACGCACTGAGACGCCAGGTAACGGCCGCCGCGGGGCCATCTCACACGCACATGTACATATATATATATTTATATATGAATGTGTGCGTACAACTCTATACGTGTGCGTGTGTGTGTGTATGCATGTATATGTATATAGAGGTGTATGCGCGCACGTCCAYGCACCTTGCAACTTGGAGCGCTGCGCTGCCCGGTGCTCCTCATTGTTTCCCGCCCCGCGCAGCCGATGGGGGCGGCGAAGCGCGGAGCCCTCGGCGCGTTCCCTGCGCCTGTTACCGCAGCTGGTGTCGCCCCCGTTTCTAACGTCCCTGAGCCGTTTATAACCCCGCGGCGCTCGGCCCCTCGCGTAACAGCGCGTGTGCGAAGCGGAGCGGACGGGCGGGCGCCTCYGCGCTGCTCACGCGTGTCCGTGTGCCCGCAGGGTCGCCATGACCAAGTCGTACAGCGAGAGCGGCCTCATGGGCGAGCCGGGGCCGCCGCGCTGGGCGGACGGGCGCCTCAGCCCCCGCGACGGGGAGCGCGACAAGGCGGAGGAGGAGCCGGAGGGGCTGCCCGGCGAGGCCGAGGAGGACGCGCTGCGCAACGGCGACGAGGAGGATGAGGAGGACGAGCTGGACGAGGAGGAGGAGGACGACGAGGAGGATGAGGAGGACGAGCAGAAGCCCAAGCGGCGCGGCCCCAAGAAGAAGAAGATGACCAAGGCGCGCATGGAGCGCTTCAAGCTGCGCCGCATGAAGGCGAACGCGCGCGAGCGCAACCGCATGCACGGCCTCAACGCGGCCCTGGACAACCTGCGCAAGGTCGTGCCCTGCTACTCCAAGACGCAGAAGCTCTCCAAGATCGAGACGCTGCGCCTGGCCAAGAACTACATCTGGGCGCTCTCCGAGATCCTGCGCTCGGGCAAGAGCCCCGACCTCGTCTCCTTCGTGCAGACCCTGTGCAAGGGCCTCTCGCAGCCCACCACCAACCTGGTGGCCGGCTGCCTGCAGCTCAACCCGCGGACCTTCCTGCCGGAGCAGAGCCCCGACGTGCCGCCGCACATGGCGCCGGCGGGAGCGCCCTTCCCGGCGCACCCCTACCCCTACCAGTCGCCGGGGCTGCCCAGCCCGCCCTACGGCACCATGGACAGCTCCCACCTCTTCCCGGGCAAGGCGCCGCCGCCCTTCGGCGCCGCCCTCGAGCCCTTCTTCGAGGGCGGCCTGGCCGAGTGCGCGAGCCCCGCCGCCTTCGACGGGCCGCTCAGCCCGCCGCTCAGCGTCAGCGGCAACTTCGCCTTCAAGCACGAGCCCGCCGCCGACTTCGACAAGGGCTTCGCCTTCTCCATGCACTACCCCGCGCCCGCCGCCGCGCTCGCGCCCGCCGCGCACGGGCCCCTCTTCGGCGCGGCGCGCTGCGAGCTGCCCGTCGAGGGGCTGCTGCCCTACGAGGGCCACGCGCCGCACGAGCGCGGGCTGCCCGCGCCGCTCCACGCCATCTTCCACGAGTGAGCGGCGCCGCGGGGCCGCCCCCCCATCCCCACGCGCGGGCAGGGCCCCGCGGGAGCCGCCGTCCCCACGCGGCGCGGGCSCCTCCCGCCGCGCTGCCCCGCGTCCCCGCGCGCATCCCCGCACTGCTCCCCGACGGCTCCTGCCGGCCGAGCCCCCTCCACGGGCAGAGCGAAAGTCACGAGCAATAATTAGGATCTATGCAATTTTTAAAACTCGCGATGGGCCAATTACAAAAGAAAGAAAGAAAAAATATATATGAGATCTATATATTTTTCAACCGGCGTTTTACTACTTGTTACCTTTTTCCCATGCTGAATTATTTTGTTGTGATTTTTGTACAGAATTTTTAATGACTTTTTATAATGTGAATTTCCTATTTTAAACCATGCAGCTTCATCAATTTTTATACATATTGGAAAGGTAGAATTATATCTAATTTATACGAAATAATTTAACTAATTTAAACCAGCAGAAAAGTGCTTAGAAAAGTTATGTTGCCTTAGCACTTGTTTCCTTTCAAAGTTTTTTAAAAAATGCACAATCCGGGCAGTTTATTTCCCATGAAAATCTTTCTTTTTTTTTCTTTTCTTTTTCCTCTTTTTTTTTTTTTTCTTTTCCCCTACAACAAGAACCAGATCCCCAGGTCTTGAGGAGATATAAGAACGAGAGACTTATTTTCTATTAAAACATATCAGTTCAACACATTACTTGCACAAACTTGTATATAAATGTTATAAGCAAATGCCAACACCCTTTTTAAATCAAAAGCTGCTTGACTATCACATACAATTTGCACTGTTTCTTTTTAGTCTTTGAACCCTTTTGCATTCCGTGTTTTTTTTTTTTTTTGAAGAGAACTTGAAGATATTAATGTTTCCAGACAATATAAATGCATGATTTTATACATATTCACACGATCCGTGGTTGTCATATACTCATTATAAATCGGAGCCTAAAACTAATCAGGTTGTTAAAGTTGGGCGCTATACCTATTGTAGTCGATTAGTACGGTAGCTTAAAACAAATTCAACCCATTTAATCCGTAATTAGAACAATAGCTCTTGCATGTACAATGCAGTCCAGAATAAGTGCTGTTTGAAATGTAATGCTGGTTCAACTGGAATCAATCTGTACTGTAATTTTGTTTGTAATCCTGTATATGATGATGTAATGCACACTGGGGTTGTAGAGAACAGCTCTCCTTTTGCAACGACATAGTATTGAACATTTGGTCGAATGTTGCATTTCTCCTTAAATGTGATTATTATTATTATTATTATTTTTCTCCTTAGTGTGAGTAATTCCTATGGGATTATTGTTTTATTCGGATAGCTCATGAAAGGTGCGACACTTATTATTTGTAGAATAAAATTTGGACTAAAAAGAAAGAAAGAGGAGGACGCGCTTCGTTGCTTTGGCTGCTCAGGTGGCCGCGATCCGCGCACCTCGGGAGGGACGCGGGGACAGGGAGCGGGCCCGGCGGGAGGCGCGGCAGCCTCCGCGCTCCGGCGGCGCCCGCGCAAGGTGCTTCCCGTTAAAGGTGCTCGCGCAACAGGTGCGAGCCCCGCGCGCAGCCCCGGAGCGCCGGGGCCCCTCGCACCCGGCGGCGCGCGGAGCTGCGCGGGCGCTCCCGCCGCCGGCGCCTTTTCCCGCGGAGCGCGGCGGGCGGGACGGTGCTCGCGGGGCGCCGCGTTCGCTCCGCGGGGCTCTGCCCCTGTGCTCAGAGCGCCCGAAAAGCAGCGGGCGGGACGTGCGCTGCCCCCCGCGCGGCGGCTCCGCGCTCCCAACGCGGCGGGGCTGGAAGGGAGGCAGGAGCCTCCGCGGGCRGCCCGAGCGAGGCGACACCGCGGCTTGGGACGAGGTCGCGGGGGTGGCCGCCGCTCGCTCGCCTCTGTCGGCTCCGTCCCCTCGCAGCCAGCGCGGGGGCAGCTCGGATGCCACCATCTTTTATTCAAAGGCAGGCACAGATGTTCCTTCTGCGGGTGGGGGGGTTAATTTATGAAAATGATATTGTTTATGCATGAGAGCAGCCCGCACAACACACGCGGCTTCCATCTGAGGGGAGAGATGCCACAGAACCAGTGCCAACGGCAGGAGCATATTCTGCAAATTTAGTCCCTTAAATGTTTAATGAATATTTGGAAGGCATTTCCAAGCCACAAGAAACCTTTTCAATTACCTTTCCTTTTCTTTCCCAGTTAATGACAAAACCCAACTCCTGTAGCCAATGCAATTTACTTAAAAGATCCAAGTAGGYTCCCCGAGTGTTTGCTACCACAACACTTGAGATGAAACAACACTTTAAGGTTATGAGGAACGTAATAAAGAAAATTAATTAGGCATTTGGGTAACTAGGGGCTCCATTTTACAAATCACTTGTGAGTTTTATTTCAATTAGTTTAGTTTCCCCCCTTGTTCTCTGCAATGCATTGCAGTTCTTTTATTTATTTATTTATCTCCTGCTGCTGCTTCTTATGCCTGTGCTATTTATTTTTTACGTACTGTTAATAATATTAGGCCAAATCCTGAAATCTGCACTCGCAACTCCCACAGGAAGGTCTATCAAGGGCTCTTTCAAAGGAAAGAATTAGTCACCCCGCTCCTCTCCTATGAACATATCACTAATTAACTTAGGCTCGAGCGGGATTATCTAACTTTCTGGTGCGGGGGCGACGCTGGGGGTGAGTCATGCCCATGTCTGTGCTAGGTAATCCAGAAGAGGCCTAGAACTTTATTTTTATGGCTCCCGGCGACGTGCGGCTTTGCTCCTCCACGCCGTGCTTCTCCGGGAGCAGTTGTGCTTTGCCCCTGGCGGGTGACACCTGGAAAACCCCGCAGGAGCAGTGCACGAGCTGGATGCTCTTCCCTTCCCGGTCTCCAGAGCAGCACGAGAGGATCTGGAGGTCGTTCACGTATTCCCATCAACGCACGGAGGCCTCGGGCAGGGCAGAGTGYCCTGTAACCATGGAGCACATCCAGGCGAGCCATGAGGCATCGAGACAGAATCCTTGGATTTGCCAACGCAGGTGCAAAATGCGCCAGGATACGACGGGGTTCAGCCTGGYGCCTGCCTGCAGGGGCTCTGCCCGAGCCAGTGAGGGCAGCAGCAGCAGCAGGGGAGGATGGAGGCATCTCGAGTCACCGCAGCGCCGCTTCCCAGGAGGCCGCTGTTCCAGGACCCTAATAAACTAATACTGGAAAGCAACACGTGGCCTCAGTGGCAATAGGAATTAACAGGAATAATTCTAAACTGTTTATATGTGAGCAAGTAAAACAAGGCTTTTGTACCATGCACAGTGCTGAAATATCTTTCAGTTATTTTGACTATGTAACTGATCAAAATTGGGTCCAGTATTACCTTAATTATTTTTGATGTTTTCAAAACATAAAGTATCTCCTCTTTTTTTTTTTTTTAAGAAATATTTATTAACCAGGTAGTATTATCAGTTATTGACTAGGCAGTATTCCTGCTCAAAGAAGAACTTGCCAAGTTGCTTCAAAAATAAGAGAGCTAAATTCCACTTGTCTTGCTTCCATATGCAGTGTCTGAAGTCAAAATCACTCCGTTCTTACTCATTCCTGCTCAGGAAGAACTCTCACAGAACCCAAAACTTGGAATTTTGCCTGCTGAATTAGCAGGGAAAATATGCAGAAATTGCTCACTGTTTTTATGCACCAAGATGGGCTGTGTAGTAATTATTTCAGAAATTAAAAATGGTCTACAGTCATTCCTTAGCTGAAAAGCCTGCGACACAAAAAGCCTGGAAAAACACAGCACATTAATACACATGGAAACAGTGTGCTGAAGATCTGCAAATAGACTGTTCTTTAAATATGTACATAAGTGTTTTTTAAATAATTCATATATGTATTTAACAAACCGTCAGAAGCTATGCAATACAAAATTAGAGCTGACAATGCTCTGAAAGCATTCTCTTAAGTATTTAGGTTGCCTACAGGGTATGTAAAACATAGAAAAGCAGTCCTGATTTTCAGTTCTTAGCCTGCAGTAGTTGGTAGGATGGAGTTAACTGCATTTCATGTGAAACAAAATAGAAGCAAATATGACGTACACTCTTTACCAATATTTTGGTGACAGAACAGTAGTAAACAAGGGCCATATTCAGTTTTATTATCTTAAAAAGAAGATGTATTGATCCTTATGCAAAGAAGAAATATTCTCCCCCATCAGCACATTCTCATTTTTATTCTTTTCCATTTTCACTTCTTTCTCTTGTTTTGATTAAGATTTCTTTCAGCTCCTATTTCTCTTAAGAACAACTTAAAGCTTGACTTCCTGTTTTCTTCTTCTTATGTCTTTATAATCCTTTCATTCCTTATTATTCTCATCTTTCTCTATTCTCCTTTGAGAGAAAAATATGGKTTTTTTTTCCTCTCAAATCTGTATTTGTCCATCTCCACAACTTCAGTCTTTCTTTCATTCTTTGGTCTTTCCCCTCACCTTTCAATGCTTTGCTTCTCTTTTTCAGACTTTTATTCATAATAAATGAATGATTATGCCAATGCCCTGTTCTACATATTATTACATTTTTTTCCTCACAATATCCTCTATCTCTTCTTGACTTAATTCACATTCCTTAATTTCAGCTTTCTATCCTCACAGGGGGACACTCATTGGCCCTCCAGTTCCTCAGCTATCCACCTTATGTCATGTTTTCTGACTGATTTGTTCAAGGRGGAAGGAATTCTGCAAGGAATACGGGCAATTGGGAAAGGTTGGATTGTCCCCCAGGTTCCTGCTTCTTCTTGCAGGGTCTGGATCATGGCATTCCTCTCCGGGAAGCTCAGTGCCTCAAGGCAGCACCCAGATGCCCTGCAGCGTCTCTTCCACCTCAGACTGCTGAGGAGAACCTCAAAGCACCTTCTCTCCTTCGCTCCAAGCTGCATTTAGGCTGGAGACAAAACAAGGCTTGCCCTTGTTTTTTGCCTTGGTGACATTGCAACCATGCTGTGCCTGGCCAGTGTGCTGGTGAAGCAGACACCAACCCA